AAGAGCTCAAAGGTGTGCTGTACCACATTCCTCAGACGCCTTGTCCTCCACTCAATCTGGAAACTTCTTCGGCCATACCGTCGAAGCGGCATAAGAAGAGATCAAGACTGGCTATGGTCGATTCTCAGCGACCTAAATGCCATAGGAGTGGCTACAACTTCTTCTTCTCGGAGCAGTATGCAAGGCTTAAACTCGAATACCAAGGACAAGAGCGAGCTCTCACCAAGAAAATCGGGCACATGTGGAGCAATCTATCTGAATCTGAAAAACAGGTGTGGGTCTCATACCATATTCTCTCACTCTCTCTCTCTCTATCTCCGTTTCTATGGTACTATAAGATACCGAGGCCTTGACCCGGAATTATGAACGAGCAATATCTTCGGAGATGCAGCAATCTATATCCTGAGATGGGCATATGATGTTTGAAATGGGTGTCAGAGAGGGGAATATGCCCATATCAAATGAAGATGTAGACCGCGTCTATTTCGACCATGCCTTCTTTTTTCCAATGACTCTCATTTCTTCTTTGGGGCTTATGTTGCACCATTGCTATTATAGCACAAGTTTTTTTCCGGACAGGAACATATGGGTTAGACACACCAGAACTCTGATCTTGCACCGTAGAAAGCTGACCGACCTGTCTATGCTTGCAGGTATATCAAGAGAAAGGGGTGAAGGACGTGGAGAGATACAGGACGGAAATGTTGGAATACAGATCTTCATACGAAGCCACCGCAGCTGCTGCGCAGTAGCTCTCTCTCTCTCTCTCTCTCTCTCTCTCTCTCTCTCTCTGAGTTGAGTAGTTAAAATGTCTATTTGGTTAATCAGCTGCAGAATCTATATAAGCCATGTCTCTTGTCTTAGGGTAGCGAGGTATATGTTACGGCTATGGGCCGGACCTTTATCTCTAGTTTAGTTTTCTCTGTGCTTTGCTTTAAATTTGTTCCATTCCTTGGAAATTTTGGTCGGAAGGATCAAACTGGGAGAAAATAAAATCAGAATGAAACAAAAAAAAACACAACTAACTTTGGATGCTAAAACTCGCATATTGTGGTCAGGAAAATACGCATTGAAGTTGGAAATGCATTAAAAGGAAATGACAAAAACATATTACAACTGTTTTCCGTGCGGATTTCTGTATTATTTGGAGCTCAACTGCAGATTTCGCGTGATTAATTTTTATCCACAAAATCCAAGGTTAGACAAGTAAACCCTATATCCCAAACGATTCCCAACTTCAAAAACCCGAGAGGTTTCGTTTTGTAATAAATAGTTTTACAAATACTTTGTTTTTTATATTTATTTTATTTTAAAATTAATTTTCGATTTGATTCATTTTTTAAATATTATTTTGTAATATGTTTTTTCTTTTTGTTTTCCTCTATCGATAAATTTTTATATTTTTAAAATTACTAAATTTGATTTTAATATATATTTATATATATAATCGATTATTAAATTTAAGTCGATTCGAACGTATTATATATTGCTCTGTTCGTTTTTAAGTATTCTGGTTGAAATGTACGCTCTGAGGGGTAAAAAATTAAAAATAAATGTCCAATTATATATATAAATAGCTTATATTTAGAAATTCAATTTTTTTTTTAAAAAAAAGCTAATAGGCCGAAACATGTGCCGTTATAGATTTTTCGTCTGATTTTTGCCAAATCTGAATTACGAAACACATCAGAAAAAATTATCACTCGAAAATACAAACATACACCCACCCATATGATGCGAGGATGTCTCCGAAGATATTTTCTTTCTTAACAAAAAAATAAATCTTTTAAAATTTTCATAGCTTATAATTTTAGAAGAATTTACATTCTCAAAATAATCCTTACTCGTCCAAACAATTAAATTTTGTAAGTTCTGTTGAATAAAATAATAATCAAAGTTTCGTTTTTACTATAGATCTTAATAACAGTGTATTTGGATATTTGTATTTGATAAATGTCCTTTTTTTCCGAAATAAGCTGAAATAGATGTTTGCAGAAAAAAAAAAGTAAAACAAAAAGCGTGGATTTGGATTCGAAGAATTTGATCTCACGCGCCAGAATTGCAGATTTTGCGAAAATCAGAGGTTTCCCTTGACTATAGTCCGGGGATTTCGGGGAGGTGGCATTCACGCGCGTCCCTTGCGTGTGAGGATGTACGTAACGCTTCAACCCTCGTATTTTTGCGTGTGGGGCCGACAAATATAAAAAAAGCCCAAACAAAAGAACGGCACGTAGTGCTTTCTGGCTTGACTGGCCCAGGCCCAGCGACATAAAATTGGCCCGATTAAAAGAAAACAAGAACGGCACGCAGTTCTCTGTGGCTTTTACTCGGAGCCCACGCCCACTAACACAAAAACGCCTCCGACCCAAGAGGCAGACAGAAGCAAAGATCATAGAAAAACAAACAACCAACAGAGGAAGAGCAAGAAAGAGGGAGTACATTCATATGATTTGCGAGGCAAGTAAGCATTAACTATACATGGCGTTACCATGGAGAACTCGATCAACCGAAGAAGTTGGGATCATAACCATTGCTGGAAGTGGCCAGGATGTAGTAAGCAACGATGTGTCCGATGGAGCCCCAAGCAAGAACATCTACGATGTTGAATCCAACCGGGTCGTTCGATTTCAGCAGGCTCACGTACTCCTTGGCTCGATCGTCTCCTGCCTCGAAGTGGGTTTTCCCGTTCTGCTCAGGCAAGCCCTGTTTGGCCACGTTCTCCCTCTGGAAGTTGAAGAACACGAATCGTCCCAGGAAGAGGGAGAGACCCGTGCTCAGGCTGATCACGACGGAGGGGTTGAGCTCCGCCTTCACCACGGCGGCGGAGGATCTTCTAGCGGCGGGGGAGGAGAGCCTGGGCATGGCGGAGGAGCCCAGGCGGATGGGTCGGAGGCCGTGGAAGGAGATGGACCTAGGGTTGGTTGCGGCGGCGGAGAAGGTCGCCGGTGAGAGGATAGCGGAGGAGGCTGTCGCCATTTTCTGTTTTTGACTTCTGGGAGAGAGGAGAGAGGAGGGAGCCGAGGAATATATGATATGATGATGGAAGTGGGGATTGGGTTCGGAGGATGGATAGAAAGCAAGGCAGAAATAGATATCTGACAGAGTTGACGTGGCATTGTCTCGTTGGTTCTTTGTGGATCGAGAGAGATCTTTGATAGATTGATAAATATTAAAAAAAAAAATGGTTTTGAATCATCGAAGATGAATTTATTGGATAATGGAAAACCCAAATTCTGCAATCGAAAACACCGACAGACAACCCACAAAAACCCAAAACCCTAAATTCAAGCAAAAGACACAAGAAGTCCCACTCCCCACAATAACACAGACAACAAATGAGCCACCCGCCCTTCTATACATCGATTAAAAAAAATTAAAAAGACGAAAGATGAACAATATAACTAAGCGACACTGTGACAACATCCAAACATTTTGCACACCACCACCCACATTTACACCTAAGAAGAAGACATCCATTATAATACTAAAGCTTCTTCTTCTTCTTCTTCTTCTTCTTCGCTTGTGTTAGTGAAAACGGTGCCAAGAACGGTCTCTCTATGTAAAGTCTTGTTTTATTTTCGACTTCTCTCTGTCCTCAAAGAAATGAATCAAGGTACGAGTAGTTCCGTACCCGGCTGTACTCCATTAGGCTTCCGTACGTACGGTCCCATACCCCGACAAAGAGCTTCTCTGTGTCCGGACTGAACGATATCCCCGATATCTCCCCGAAGAAGTCTATCTCCTGCTCTGTCTCGTACCCGTTTCTCACATCGTACACGTGCACAAAGTCTGCCGGCTCGGCCATCGCCATGTATTTTCCATCTGACGTGTAGCGGATGGACCGGATCGCTCCTAGGTTTCCCCTCAGGACAGCGACGGATTCAGACAGCTTACGGATGTCCCATACCCTGCAGGTCTTGTCCTGGTTTCCTGTCGAGAAGGTGAGACCGTCTGGATTCCACGCCGATGCAAACGAATAGTCCAAGTGCCCTTTTAACATTGCTACAGTCTGTCGAGATTCCGGAAAACATGTTTGAAAATTCAAGGACATGATGTCTGGAAGAATATTTTAATTCTACAAAACACAAAAAATTGTTCGGGAAGACTAATATATGCTTGCACCTTTCCTGTGTTGGAGTCCACCAAAAGGCCCTCCGGGTTGTCTCCCACGATAGTCAGTAGTTTACCGTCAGGACTCAAAGACGTATGCTGCCAAGAATAAATCGACAGAAAACAGTTACCACTAGGTTATTGATACCAGAACTACATATATCTTGATTGAATCTGGTAAAAAGCTGTAACATGATAACGATAGTAAAACGAGAAAGAAGCACGCGACTTACATTCACTGGCCAAGGGAAACGAAAATGATTAACAAGCTGGTACTTCTCCATATCAAAGTCTCTCACTCCAGAGTCATTATTTGAGGCAGTGAAATGAAGTGCACCACTGTATAAGAGAGGGGCCAAAACATAAGTTAGAAGGAGGCACTCAGACAAAGTTGCAAAAGACCTCCGGGAGTAAAATAAGAAACATACCTCGGTTTGAAATATATCTCAACGGCATTGGTGATAGCATTATCATCATAAGTTGTACGTGAGCAAAAGCTGACACCGGGTCTATCGAGATGCTGGACCAAAGTGGAAATAGATGAGCTCTACCAAGAGATTTCATATCACTACTATGCTAAGTCACCGATCCTTAAAATACCAGAAGAAGCTCACCTTGCAAATAAGTTCTCCTTGAAATCCACCAGCAACTAGAAATCTATCTTTCACTGCAAGTGTACTAACTTGAGTCTGTGTAAATCCTTCCAGCAAACTTCCTGGATGTTTCTGAATGCACACAAAAAAAGTATTAGGAGCTACATAGACCAATGTAGTTGTTTAAGGATTTCTATCAGTCTGGCATTCGCTAACCTCAGACGGTGCAACGTGACCTGAGACATTGAGAACTTCAGCCTTTGCACATGTTATAGAATTATAATGCATGACCTGAAAATGTGACATAAGGTAGACATCGTGCTTTGAAGTCGCCCAAACCAAATTCCTCAACTGCAATATTGAGAAAACAAAAGGTTATCGACCAGATGAACTCCACATATATCTTTTCAGGAGACCAATCTTTTAATTTGCATTCTTATATTGAATCAAAATATGGAGCTATCCTACAAATCCATTATCCATAAAAGCTTTGCAGGCAATCATCTCATCAATCACCACAAGCACACATACGTATTCCATGTGATACCCTCACCAATGCCCAAAGACAATATATAATAGAATGTATAAAAAGGAATATCGACTAGAACAGCATGGATAAATTTCAATGGTGAGACCTGGAAATGAAGAATAGTTGATTTAATAGATCTTGAATTCCGCCAGAACTCATAGAAAAAGCCCCCTTTTTGAGTGACCTTACAATCCTACATTCATAAAACGAAAGATAATGATATTATATAGTAATGGTAACCATAAATACCGACAACAAGAGGAGAGTCAACAAATATATCCCTTACTTTTCCCGAGGATTCCGCTGATTCGGGGACATTTTCATAATTCTTGTACTGTTCTAGTCTAGTTTGCCTGTACTTTTCCCTAGTAATACTAAGGCTCTCCCAAGGAATTCCTTGAATATCTTTTCCTTTTCGAGCTTGCTCTGCAGTTGTATCTGCTATTTTATTGTTCTGAAACAGAGGAAGGAGGATAAAGTATAAGAATAGAGTAAACCTGAAATCAAAGCTATTACTTCTCACAGCCTAAACCCTTTGTGAAGCTAATTAGCATATCCAAACACTGTTGCACCTGAAGAGTCATACTTACTGAGAAGTCATATTCGTCAACGTCAGAGTCTGAACCCATATCATCACCACGGAACTCCTCATCCATATCATCGTCTATATCTTCCATATCATCATCTACATCTTCCATGTACTCATTGTCCTCCGCTTGGAACTCAGACATTTTTCAGGTTAAAAATTACAAGAAACCTGCACATACAAAAACAAACTACCTGCTGAA